CGGAGCGGTTCCCTTTTCGAAGGATCGCACGCACCTGACGCTTCTCCAACTCATGAAAATCATCCTCCGGATGCCAGAACCTACCGTGCGCCGTCATTCAGCGGGAGGCTGATATCGCAAGTAAGACAATAACTGATTGGGCGAGCCTTTGTCGGTAGGTTGTGGTAAATGCCGTCTTTAAGCATTCAGACATGATTGGTGGCGAAGGCGTGACTGTAGAACTAGACGAGAGTATGTTCGGTCGGCACAAGTACCATCGCGGGTATTTAAGGCCTGGCCAGTGGGTTTTCGGCGGTGTGGCGCGTTGCAGCGGGTGCTGCTTTTTTGTTCCCGTGGAGACCCGTGACGCTAAAACCCTGCAAGGGCTAATAGCCGAGTGGGTCCGCCCTGAAACAAGAATAATCACTGATTGTTGGGCTGGCTATCGCAAGCTTGCAGATGACGCTCGCTTCACGCACCTCACCGTCAACCAACTTTGTCGACGCGAACACTGGTGCGCACACGAATACGGTGGATTGCACCTGGGCCCACGTCAAAAACTCTCTTCCATCTGGACGGCGCGAGAGCCACTATTTCACTGGTCACCTTGCAAAGTTCATGTTTTGGAGGAGAGACAAGGCGCGCGGAAACACTGATAGATTCCAGTCGTTCGTCGCCGCGGCCGCCAAAATCTAGAGCCCCGACGCAGACACGGCGAGGATTCTGACGGCCCCGGTGACTTCGAGGGATCCGCTGCGCTGAGCCCGTCACCCGCCTGCATGCATAAAGACGACTTATGCGCCAACCGCTCGTCAAGTGCTCGTTACGTCAGTTATAGGTTCTGGTAGCGGTCTAAACGGTCCTTTCCAGGGCCCCCATATTTTGCAAACGGAGCTGTGTTTTGAATGCGGCACCCCGTGTCTCTATAAAAAGTTCACAGGAAAGACCCACCAAAGGTATGTGGTCCCCAACTTGGATATCGGGTGTTATGATTCAACTAAAAATTGTTCTTGCTTATTTCGCGCCTTTGAACCCAATAAATGCCGCAGTTGCAGTCGTCCCGCAGTTCTGTTGCTCGCCCATTCGTCGTCGGCGTGGCTCAGCTTCGTCGTCTTTGCTAGCGGCGCACCGGCGGAGCCGGCCTTCGATCCGAACAAATGCCGCCGTTGCAGTCCCGCGGTGTTGTTGCTTGCTCGATCGCCGTCGGCGTGTCTCAGCTTCGTCGTCTTTGCCAACGGCGCACCGGCGGAGGCGGTTGATCTGACACACCGCGTTCGGCTTTGGCTAGCAGACGGCGTTCGTAAAATGGCGTCAGCTGTTGCTGGCTTCACGCGGCGGTACCGTTCGTGCTTCTATTCATTCGGCGTTCGTTGCCATGGTGACGGCGAGGAAAGCAGACGAACTTTTTGATGCGGAAGAACGCTGCGGCGCAGCGATACCAGGCGCGTTCTAACGCCCTTCCCGCATGCTTTTCAATGGGCGGAAGGCGAACAAAAAGAGTTCGAAATAAGGACTTAACGCAGAAGGCTGCATTTCTCCAGCGCCTCATAATTTGACGAGCCTTGCACGAAAAGCATGTTTTTAGACCGGAGTTTGGAGATAGTTTTTTTTACAACAACATGGGTCTAAAGTATCAATGTGCCGACAATCCTTAGAGCGGTGGCCTCTTTTCGTGCATCGGAAACATCGGCTGTCCTGTGCAAGGCGCCTTTTCTTCTCATCTAAGGAGCTCCCGGAAGAACATGTGCTGGCAGCATGATCCTCCTTTCCACAGGAGAAACAAGCGTCCTCTAGATGACTTGAGTTTTGCAGCACCATTGTTGAAGGAATCGAGATAGCCTGTCGAGGTCTGGAAGCCCATGGTGAAAGATTCGCCGATGGACGCTCGTCACGTGAGGATCGCTCGCGGCTCTCGATTTCCACCCGTAGAAATTGTAGCAGCTTAGCCAGCTCTTCTCCCGTATTCCTCGATGTATCAACCATAGTCTCACAACGCGTCGCACTACTGGAAGTGGCTGCAGTCTGATCGGGGAGAGTAAGAGGAGCCAGTTGTGGCATATAGCTCTTGATGCGGTAGTACTCCACTACGATGTGTGATGGCAAGCTGTTCAGAAGTATATCAACCAGCATAGTTGCGTATGTATCACTCGAAATACCCAGGGAACGCAAGCCACGGATGTTTGTTTGCACGTGATCGTAGACGTTCCGTAGTCCCTGTACGTCACGCTCAGACTTCACAGCTGGTAGCCTACGCAGTCTTCCCAGATATTCGCGTTCGATTCGTTGTTTATCACCGAACCGCTCAGTCAGCATCTCTACCGCATCTTGGTAACATGCCGCAGTGGCTTGTAGTCCAGAAATCATGCTGGCTGCTGGTCCAACGAGAAGTGAGCGCAAGTACTGGAACTTCTCCGGCTCAGAAAGACTTGTGTTGCGGTGTACCGCAACGTCGAATTGCTCCCAAAATGGTTGCCATTCTGTAAGCTCACCTTGGAACTGCAGCAGTTGTAGTTTCGGGAGCTTGATTCCAGTCAAGTAGGAGCTGTTGCCTTTGTTGCCTCCGGAGCGTGGCGGTTGCGGTGTCGTCTGGGCTCGAACCTCACTGATAATCCTTGCGACCTCGTCCTCGAAGTCAGCCACGGTGCTGTAGTCCTCCTCCAAGTCGTTGTCGTCGATGAGGGGCTCTATCTCCTCATTGACCTTCCGAAGCTCTTCGTTGCTAGCAAGCAGTCTGTCACGCAAACTTTCAAGTCTCTTGGAGTCCATAGGGTCCGACTCTAGCGCAGCTCGTATCTCATTTACGAGCTTGGTGTTCCGGCTGCGTCGAACCGCTCGTTTCTTCTTTAAGGCTCTGTTATACTCCGACGTAACGCGCGCGCGCGCGCAAGCGCGTCACAGCGACGTCACGTCGGCGAAAACCCGACGCTCTATACTCCGGCGTCGTGACGTAACCGACGCGACCGGCGGCGTTCGGCGCAGCCTGACCACCTCGACGCCAAAATGGAGCATGCCGTATTCCGCGCCGGCCGCGCCGGCGACGCCGGACCAGGATGCATCACGCGCTGGCTCCCGACAGGCGTCGCACGGGAAGAGCGGCGAATGCGAGCAATAGCAGACGACAGGAGCACCACTCCGTGTGGCGTCGTGTTTGAAGAATCGGACTCGGTCGGTCGAGAAGCTGATCGAGGGAATTCGTCCTCACCCGAGAGTCTATGACACGAGGAAGCTTGAGTACCGTAGACCGGGCGCTTGTCAAAGATGTACCGTATGCAAACTGACCGCCTACGCTTGCGGCGCAGGCGGGCACCAACAGTGCCAGCGCGAGTTTTCGTCGTGCAAGGTACGTCCACGCCATCGCTCGAACTGGACGCTCAAGAAGCGCGAGAATTTTCGTATGCTATTCGAAACGAAAAGGAACCGGAAGTGGCGCACTCTTGCAGGAAACATGCCCCCCAACGTTACTAAAACACTCAGTTGGGAAACTTGCCGTCGAAACCTGGGCCGCTGGTGTCCACCGAGACCGAGCTAAATGCGACAACAGCGCCACTCTTTATCGTTTGTCTGTACTATGGTCACCTTGAGCTTTTTGAAAGCCTGTTTTTGCGTAAAAACAAACGGAAAAGACTCTTTTTGTATGAAATTTATTGGAGTTTAGTACCAAATGATTGGCGCGTGATGTTTTTATCATCTTTAGTTCGCAAGGTTTTGCGGAACAATTAATATTGTTTTTATACAACTATGCCTCAGCGGGCCTTTCAGGTAGTGCGTCCAGACCTAGGTGCATTTTAACTTCGGATGTTGAACGCGGCGCGACCGCCGGGGAGACGGGGTGGCACCCCTGTCACCTCTTCCGCTGTATCTGTTCTCAAGGCCAAAATAGAAGTCACGTGCAGTTCCTCGAGTGGCCGCTGCGGGAGAAATGGTGCCGTTGTGTTCGTCATTAGCTCGGTGCTCGGAGACAGATTGGGGCCACTTTTTCAAAGCTGTCTTTATGGGAGTTTCCCAACTGAGTGTTTTAGTAACGTTGATGCCCCCGTAGTCAGATTCTGCGCATGCGCCGCACCGGCGGCCCACCGACGCGCGCCGCGAGCGCTGCCAGGGACGCCGGAGTATAAAGAAGCCGAATTTTTTATGCGCACGGCGTGACTGACGTGACGTAGCCGACTTCGGCCAGCGTTTGCTTGCGCGCGCGTTACGTCGGAGTATAACAGAGCCTTTAGTCGATCCATATTCACCAATGCGGCGTCCAACTTTGTTCAACTCCCGGGTTTCGGCACTAAAATGTTGCGCCTTGAGGGCGCTCGTAGGGGAAAGGAACAGGACGACCCAGCTCTGGTGAACGATTTACTTCAACTCCCTCTTTCCTCCTTCCCGCTCCCATACCCGCGCGCTAGGAAGGATCGGTTAAACCTTAATTTTCAACCATAGTCGTTAAGGCAATGCTGTCTCTGGCAGGCTAATATCAGGATATGCACAAGTTCAGTTAAACATCATGATTGACTATCACTAGATTGCCTACACACGCACTGTATTTCTATTAAACTCATGAAGCACATGTTTTCGATCATGCGCGTCTAAGTTTTAACATCGCCAGCCGTTCCTCGTACGTGTAATTTCAGGTGTGCACGAGTAACCAAGCGGATGCTGAAATATGAGTACATTTTTATTGTGTACACGAGTAAAACTGGCCACTGAATGCCGGCAAGAGTTATGTATCAAAACTATCGTAGTTAGACATTCATAAGTCACACTCTCACTGGTATATACTACGTAGGAGGAGAGTTTTGCGAATGGTGCGACGTTTTCCCCATGATATCTGACTCTTGCTTGTGGCTGCACTATACATAATGACATCACAAGTAATCGGCTTGCCGTACACAGTTTTATTGACAACAACCCATTGGATAGATATTCTTTTATGCTTGCTGGGATGTCCGTCCTATATATGAAGCTTGCTGTGCAGTGCAAATAATTTTTCAAGGAATGTCGATGTCTTGGAGATTTATAGCTTTCAAAGTTTATTACAACCAATCTTCCTCATGCTGGTATGTTGCTACAGAAAATAATGAGAAGTAAAATGAAAGTATATCAGCTACATAATTCGGTTTAATCACTTGGAACACTTACAACATTTAAGAATATAGTCACTGAGATTGTGTTTTGTATTTCTATATTCAGACACAAAACGACCAAACCGGAATAGATCTTATACAGTATGTTTTTTACAATATCGATGCCATAATAATTGCGCAAATAACTTTTCTCGAGTGTAGGTCATCCTTTTTTAAAATAATTTATCGTATAATGATATGCATGTAATCAGTTAAAATCGTATGACTAAACATTATTTTTTTCATATGAGAGCTAGAGTGGGTCCTCTCTAAGTCGACGAACCTAGGAAGCTCTGCTTGTTATATCGTCTCTCACTCCACATACTGTTTGTTAAACAAGAATATTTATTTTAGTCTTGAAAAAAACTAGGTAATCGAAAAATTAAGTAGACGGAGGCTGATAAGGGAAGCCCATAGATAGAAGAAATGGGTGCGAATAAATTGAGTCAATAAACATGGGTAGCTTGAAAAAATGAACTCAGATTGGGCAGTTCAAGCAATTTCCCTAAATGACTGTTTAGTTTAAATTGTTTTTGTTATTAAATGACCTAAAATTTTTGCAACATAAAATATTTATTTGTTAATACCACTAGGTGTGAAATAAAGGGTAGATAATAATTGATGTGATTTCTCGCACTGATACTTATGGACGATTCCGACTCAACTCCTTTAATTCTAAACTACATCTTATCATTTTATAGTCTGAAGCCACCACTCGAAAGACCATACATGCATAATACGAAATAATTAATGTTAGTCATTCTACATGGACATACTTTGTAGTTTGAAAGTTTAGTAGAAGTTGTTATGTAGCTGTCTAACAGCGCCCCCTATATGGGTTCGAATGAACCCCCAACAGGGTGCACTCTGCATTCCTAGACTGGGACACAGTTCAGCATGGCTGTCCTTTTATGTCTCCCGATTTATCACAACTAATAATCGGCCGACATCGAGACATAACATGGTGTCAGAAGTGGGATAATCAACGTAACAACTCAACGAAGCCGCAGCGCAACAAAAGGCCATGTCATTTCCACTGATCCGGCCCCCTGAACCGTTCCAACCAGGCAACAATCCGGCGGAAGCGTGGTCCGAGTGGAAGGCATCCTGAGCTCTACGAAGCGGCATGCGAGTACATCAAAAAGCCAGCTGCAACCAGGCGACCATTGCTACTTCACATACTAGGTCCGACAGCGCAGAAAATGGTGCAGACTTTTCACTTCCCCGCTCCAACTGAAGCTGAACCAATCAGAGACACGGTCGCAGACATTTTCGCAAAATTCGACGAAAGATATTTCCCTTACAAGAATGTAACGTAAGCAACAGCCATATTCAACATCATGTACCAGAAAGAGAGCCAGCCGATTGACGGCTACATAGCGGAACTTCAGCACCAAGCTGACAAGTGCGGCTTCGGTGACAAGCACGACCTCCTCCTCGGCGACAGAATCATCATTGGCATCCACAACTCAGCTCTACACGAAAAGCTCTTCCGTGAGAGAAACTTGACACTTGAAACGATCATCGCGACCTGCAGAGCGGCTGATATCTCAAAGCGTCATATATCATCGTTGGCGGCTGCGTCAGATGGACAAGAAGTTGCGGCGACTGTGGACAGCATGAGCCGCAAGCACGGCAAACACACTCGTCGACAAAACAACACCACGCCAAAGACGACAGCCTCCATCGCAGGAACGAAACGGCGAGAGCAGAGAAACAGTGCCCAAGAAAACAGCATGCCGCAGGTGTGGAGCTATGCACTAACCTCGACATTAGCCTGCTTATTGATTGACCTGCTATTCCTGCGGCAAGTTCGGACATTACGCCAGTGTGTGTCGAAAAAAAGAGCGGCAAGGCCCAAGACAAGTTCGGATGCTGGGTGACGACCAAGATGACGACTCCTTTTAAGAATTCTCTCTCGGGAGCCTCACCATCAACGACATTGAAGAAGGCACAGAGCCAGACTGTCTAGATGACGTCAATGTAAATGGCCGCGAGGTAACTTCAAACTTGACAGTGGCTCCGATGTGAATACCCTACCCGAGAGACTTGTCACGAAATGGACGCCCCAGCCAACTCTAAAGAAAACAATAGCAAGAGCAACTACCTATCTTGGTGAGCGTCTGCGCACCGAAAATGAGTGTGAACTACAAAAACAAAACAGCGCCAAGACAAAGACGAAGTAGAAGAAACCACAGGACACAGCGCCGACCAAACAAGATTCGGACTTCTGGAGGCAGAAGTTTCCCGCGAATGAAGAAGGCCAGCATGCGGGAGCGACAAATCGTGCCCGCTATAAGCGTCACCAGGACACACGGATCCAAACTCAAACATTGAAAAAAGCCCGATGTAAAATGAATATAGTTGATTAACGTAGTAGTTTGGGCTAGTTGGTAAGCATACATGATAAAAACAAAACACCACAAAGACAATGGATCTTGTTTGGTCGGCGCTGTGTCCTGTGGTTTCTTCTACTTCGTCCTTGTCTTTGCGCTGTTTTGTTTTTATCATGTCTACTTAGCAACTAGCCCAAACTTCTACGTTAGTGTGAACTACCTTGCTCAGTGAAGGATACCCAAAGTAATCTGAGGTTCCTCCTGGTGAGAGGAGACCTCAAGCCCATCTTAGGGGCAGCGGCATGAACAGAATTAAAGCTACTGCACCGAGTAAAGAAAATCCAAGCGACGAAGACGACCAACCATCCAGCTTCACAACAGTTCGCAGCAGTGCTCTAGGACTTCCCCGACGTGTTCAAAGGAATTGGCAGACTGCCTGGAGAATACACCATCACCCCGAACCCGACGCAAAGCCTACTGTAGCGGCCCTTCGAAGAGTGCCAAGTGCACTCGAAGGCACATTGAAAGCAAAACTCGAGTGGAGGCAAGCGAACGGCATCATCAGAATAGTGACAGAGCCAACAGACTGGGTTCACCTCATCGTCATCAAAAAGAAAGATGGAAATGTTCAAATGTGCCTGGATCCGAGAAGTTTGAACGCAGCAGTGAAACGGCAGCATTATCACATTCCTGTTCCTGAAGAACTCTTTGCTCGACTAAGTGGAAACACAGTGTTCTCTGTCCTGGATGCCAAGAGCGCCTTTTGGCAGCTAGCCCTCGACAAACAGAGCACATTGTTGTGCACATTCGCCACGCCATGGGGAAGATACATGTTCTTGCGAATACCGTTTGGACTCAGCACCGCCCCTGAACTGTTTTAACAGGCAACTGACACAATCTTTGAGGGTCAAGGCATTGTGACGCCATACTTCGATGACATTTTGGTTGCGCCGAAAACGCCAAGTGACCATCTGATCCATCTGCGAAAAGTGCTCACCACAGCACGTGACAACAGTCTCAGGATAATTGGTGACAAGCTCAAGCGGGGACTCTCATCAGTCACCTACATCGGTCAGCAACTCACCCAACAGGGCATTGCTCCTGACCCCGACAAGGTGAAGGCAATCAACCCTATACCCGTGCGAGCGACCAAGGCGGAGCTTCTACGATTTCTGGGGATGGCAACTTTCCTCATAAAATTCGTCCCACACTTCTCAACAAAGACGCAGCCTCTTCGAGAGCTTCTCAAGTGTGATGTCGCCTGGCATATTACCTCTAAGATGTCACAGGCATTCAACAAAATCAAACACGACCTGACAACTGCTCCGGTGCTACATTACTTCGACCCAGCGCAATCCATTGTCATATCAACAAATGCATGCTCATATCAGATCGGTTGATCCCTCCTTCAAAATGGACATCCAGTGGCCTGTGCATCAGCAGCGCTCACACTGGCCCAACAGCGTTATGCGCAGATTGAAAAGGAACTACTGGCCGCAGTTTTTGCGTGTGAGCAGTTTTATTACTACATCTGGTCGAAGCATTGTGGTGGAGACTGATCACAGACCGCTCATTGGTCTGCACTGCAAAGACTTCCATAAGATCTCCCCCAGGTTACAGCGCTTGTTGCTTCGTCTCTAGCGTTTCACCATCAAGTTGGTATACGTTCCTGGGAAACAGCTGACTGTTGCAGTTTTCTGGAGCACAAGATCCGGTGAAGTACATCGAGACTGCGGATCAAGAGCATGGCATTCTTGTCTGCACGTTGGTACAAGCATAAACACCCAAGTTAGCTAAAATGTGAGCCTGCACTGCAGCGGACGTTACACTTCAGCGTGTGGCCTCGCACATCCAGAAAGGCTGGTCCGACAAGGTCTCTAGCGTTCCCAGATCCGTCAAGTCCTACTACGTGATCAGTGATGAACTTTACACAACTGATGGATTCGTCTGCTACGGTGAACGACTGACTGTGCCACAGGTATGCCAAGAAGAGGTGCTCTCAAGGCTCAACATAGCTCATCGTTGGCATGGTCTCATGCAAGAACACAACTCACCAGAGTGTGTACTGGCCCGGACTAAACAAGAATATCGAGGAGATGATAACCAGATGTGAAATCTGCCAACGCCATCAGCGAGCCAACCAGCGAGAGCCACTCCTCGACAGAGATATTCCAACTCCTCCTTGGGAGAATGTCGCAATGGATTTTTTTCCACTAAAACGGCTGTACGCGTACTTGCCACTGGTCGAATACTACTCGAAGTTCATTGAGGTAAAGAAGATGCCAACAACCACAGCATCTGCTGTTATACCAGTGCACGCTATGGCATACCAAGTGAAGTGGTCAATGACCATGGGCCCCCTATTCGACTCTACCGAGTTAAGAGACTTCAACAAGGAATGGGACATTGCCCATAACCCGATATCACCACTATTCCCTCGATCGAACGGACAGGTAGAGAGGACCATTACGACAATCAAGGTTACAATGACGGAAGCACTCGGTGAAGGAAAATAACTGTCAGTGGTCTTGTTGAGCTACAGGGCAACATCGATGAATCGACTTGAATCTCCGGCAGAGATGCTAATGGGAAGAAGGATCAGAACACTAATTCCAGCCCATCCCAGCTCACTCCTACCTCACTACCGGCACAAGCTCCTCCATAAGAAGCTAAAGGCAAAGCAGCAAGCTTAACAAAAGCATGGAGACCAACATGCACAAATACTGCCTCCTTTGCAGAAGAAACAACCAGATTGGTTCTGGCTCGGGAAGAGATACAAAAGGCCTTGGTGACACAGGTGGGTCCAGAACGACATAGGTACAGAGTCACTTCGTCCAACATACACAACACATATACACGCAACCGACACCACATTTATGTGAGAACCAAATCAAGGAACCCCTAGGTGACTGCAGAGAATTAGTATCCGGTCGACACCAGGGTCAGCGCAAATCACCCAGAAGAGACATCCTAGAGATGTGTGCCAAACCAGTCACAACTCCGAGCAACACGCTCAGGAAGGACTGTCAGAGTTCCTTCAAGATTTCTCCTATAGCATTTTAATTTGTTGTTTAATATTTGTGTGGCGGAATGTTATGTAGCTCGCTAGAAGCGCCCCATACTTGGGTTCCAATAAACCCCTACCACGGTGCACTCTAGATTCCTGTACTGGGACAAACTTTAACATGGCCGTGCTTTTATGTCTCCCGATTCATCACAACTGACAATCGGCCGAGATCGAGACATAACAGAAGTGTAGAATAATCTGGCCGAAGAAACAAATAAAAGAAGACGAGGAACAAGCTCGAAAAGTGGGGAGCGAAGGAGAGCTTGACTCCGGACACACTATCAATTATCTGGTTAAAGGGACACTGACACCCCCCAAAATTTTTTTTTAATTTTTTGCCAGGCGCTTCATTATGGTGTCAGAGGACTACCCAATTAATATTTTGCAAGAGAGTAGCGTATTTTTTTAATAAAGCCAAAAGACGCAACTGCTCGAAACCGAAACCGAAACCCGACGGAGGTCGGAGAAGTGGAGAGAAGAGAGCGAGTGGCGGAAGTCACGTGGCTACACCCGACGTGTTTTTTTTGTTTTTTTTTCTTTTTCCTGGTAGCAGACGACATGCGGCGTGCGGGTACGGGAACTGTTCGCCGTGGGATTCTTTTGCAGTTATGTATGTTCCGCTCGTTGTTCTGTACTCCAAGATGAGTTGTTTTGTATATTGAGGAGTTGGAGATGAGTAGTGAGTGCCCGTGGTGAATTTTGATCGGCTCCGAAAAGAATATACCCAAGATGTTGCGTGAAGAGCTGGCTCACATGTCCTGCGTCCGAAACAGAAGTGGCATTGTGCGACAGAGTTTCCGAAAGATCAACGGGATCGGGACCATTGGCTGGCTGCAATTCCTGTAGACCATTTACGGGCACCTCGGAAAGCGGACGCTACCTGATTTATATGCTCCTTGCATCTCGTGGAAAGTGATTACGTTGAGTTCGCAGGTGCCAAAAAGGAAATCCCATACCATTTAATTCAGCGACGTGTCGTCCACAACATTTGTTTCTTTTTTTGTTTCTTCAGTGATAATTTTAACAAAAGAAAAGAAATGTAGACATCAAAAAACATACGAAAAAAAAAAAAAAAGTTCTACGGGGGATCGAACCCGACCCTACGGCGTGTAAAGCGAACGTCTTTCCCACTAAGCAACTGGGGGATATCGAAAGTTGGGGATCTTTTTCCTTAGTAATAATTCAGCCGATAAACTGTAAGTTTGAAAGTTCGCTACCGATTTTCCTTTAGCAAAAGCACTCCCGGGTCGAAGTCGGGATGCACCCCGCATTGGCGACATTCTCACCTTGTAAAGAAATCGTACGCGTGCATATTCAACTCGAAGTAGACACGTCGTGCTTGACGTTTGCGCGAGCGATGTCTTCAGCCATGAGAAGGGAGCGACGGCTCGGCGACGTCTTCGTGCAAATCGGCTTGGTGGTCGGGCATGTAGTACGGGATGAGGACCAATTCTTTCGATCAGTCCCAAATTTCTCTTTTAAAGGCAGACAAAATTCTCCGGTACCGCGAACGACAGTTCTGAAATAGAGGTCTCACGCCCGTCGTCCGCTGCCATCGCGTCCCTGGGAGTCCCACGATACGCGAAACGACGAACGCACAGAATGCTTCCGGTTGTCTGTGAAACTTTTTTTTCAATCAACGTATTTGCAGCTTTTTAGAAGCCACAAAAAATTGGTTTCATATTTTTTTCTATTTTTAATATTGAGTGTGTGCCTTCAGTGACCCACGACTTTGATTAAATTTGGTGGTCGCATCGATACCTTAGAAAACGGCCCGTGACCGCGGAAAAGAGAGTGAGCGAGACTCGAACCGGCCAGTTCTTGATCGGCGGTTTTCGGGCGGAAAGAAACCGAATTTCGAGCCGCAAATTCTGTTCTGGGTAGTTGAGCTCTCAAATGTCACGTACAACTAAAAACCTCGGCGAGCATAAATACCCTGTCAGTGTCCCTTTAAAGGGGAAACAACCCTACCCGACACCCCCTTATGCGGCAGCAGACGGAACTTACAGAGAACACACTCCAGTGGCCAAAAGAGCACCATTGCCCAACTCCAGCGGAATAAAAGCTCCGTCATGTCTAACCCCGTGGAAAGGACATTTATTTCTTCGTTATTAAGTTTTTGTGTTTTTTTTTCCTGGTTGGACGTGCGGGTGCGAAAACAACAGCAACGTAAATATTTTTGGGGTACACAAATCAAACGGATGTTGCAGTGCTTTGTTTCATAGTCTCAAAAAAGAACCGGACAAAGTGATATTGCGTGTCGAAATTATAAGGTTGACAATTATTGTCGGCGTTTACACTTACCCATACATGTTGCTTCGCAATCTTTTTGTGTGTTGAATATGTTTGAATCACCAGGAACATAGCCACGAAACATGTGCTTGCTTACACAACTGTGAGAATCTATGTCGTAGTAGTATTTATTAACGAAACCAGAAAATCTATAATCTGGAACTTGCACGCAGCGGTGCCTCGATTTTTCTGTTGAACAAAATTTAAAATACAAACCGGTGAAATTTTTTTAATACTGTATATTTTAGTTTCATTTATTATTCTGTGGAAATGATTTGCAGAATAATAAAAATAAAGATAATTTTTTTAATATCAACACATTATATACATATATATATATATATATATATATATATATATATATATATATATATATATACGTTTTGTTTTTTTCTTTGCGTAGACAGATTTGCTTAAAAAAGTCATGGAAGTTAAACTTATGCGGTTTGTGCAGGTGAGCTATATGGCCAGGGGGAAATAGTACTAGGGGCTAATCGTAACTATCAGTCATATAAGTAACTAAAATTCGTTAATTAACTTTTTAAATAATGAAAATATACATATAGTTCCAATTATAAACTTGCTGAGCGTCATCGAAAACCACTGTCGAATTGAGTTGCAGCCTCTGTCACAAATCGATCCGCCCCTACTTTGACGTGGCGACAGTACCAGGAGGGCAGTAGGACGGTCGTTTTAAATTCTAGAACTTAGGATGAACCACAAAAAGGATATTATCACGTCCAACTGGCTGCCGATTACGCGATACTCACGGGACATGATAATCATTAATGTAATTCTATGAACTATTCTGCATAGTGTTACGTTCCACACCCCGGCGATGCCGTGCTCCGTCTAGGGCACACTTGCAGGAACGGTCCGCAACATCATCTCTCGGCAGAGACCCTCTCGAAGACTCGGAACCAAGGCTTTCGAACATCAGCTGAAGTAACCAACATCAACGGGTCTTCGTCTTCCTCTTTCCCCAAGCTAAAGAGAAGCTGCTGCTGCGGCGACAAAAACCTCCGGGCCAATGAGAGTGACTGCTGTACCTCGTCCTCATCCAAACCAGCAGCCACGACCGATCACCAGGATCCCTCCGGTGGTGACTCAACATCGTCACGTCTCCGGGGCTATAAACGGGGGACCCGCGAACAATCGCGGCCGAGACAGACTGGGACCTACCATCAAACGCAACCATAGACTCATGTCCCATTAAAACATAGTCACCTTATAGCCCAAACCCGGTCTCCAGCCTGTCCGTCCCCCAGCCCTTAACAATACACAGGCATGCGCAGACATTCCCGTGGCAATGACAAGTTAAATTGGACATGACGACGCCGGCGTGGAAACGAATAAAGAGGGTGGCGGATTTTTTTTTTACGCTCAGCTTGTTATATTGCTTTAAGCATGTTATCAGCAGACGCTTTATTGTACGGTGGCTCTCAGGGAGAGCGCCGGTTTACGGATCCCCAGGGCGCCGTGTTACTGAGATTTTGATTGCGGTACAAAATATCTCAATCGGCAATCCTCTACGTTGGCTTGGCAGAGTTGGTTCTATAGTTTGGCACGAAAACGTCAACGAAATATTTTAAATGCGTGAACATCGTATGCAGCGGTGCTAGGACTGGACTGGATTGAACTGGGTTTCTGGGGCTGCGGCGGGGTTCCCGTCGTACTCTTTCGCACCGTTCGTTCGCCCTTTATGTTTACTTTGTCTCCTACGTAGAATGGTAAGAGCCTTCTCGCACGCTTCCAATGACACTCCTGTGTTGAGACGCACTCGTCATACGATGGCACCGGGACGTAGGTACATGGTTTTGTTTTCGCAATATTCACAACGTACGCGACAACGTAAAACCAAGTTGCAGCGACGACACCTTTTGCGTGAAACCGCCAACACCCGGAAGGAATTGGTTCTTCGCAGACAACCACGTGCGGACCGGGGGCGGCGGTCGACGAAACCTGTGATGAGTGAATCTGAAACCACCGACGCCCGGGAGAACAAAATTACTCTACGAAGAATCGAGTAAGCGAATCGTCCGAGCGAAAAAATTGCGGTGGCTTAGCTCGGCTATGCCAGGATATACGTAGCGTGAGCTTATGCGCACAAAATGAGAGACTTTATCAAGCAGCTCCGGTGCAGCGTCAGACTTGGCTACTGCGCAACGGAGGCACACAGCTGGGCACGCGGCGGCGCCAGTGCGTCTGCCGCGGCTATGACGTCACTCCTCTGGAATGCGAAGACCGGCGAGGCGCGCACGGTGGCGGAGAAGCCCGCGGCGGCGGCGGCGGCTCCGGCACGTCAGCTGTGCGCCGTGTGACGTCACTGCTCCTCGCGCTTGCGCAGCACGGAACACGGCCCATTGTGCGAGCCACGCGAAACTGCTCAACCTCGGCCAGTCTAGCTCACGCTACAAAAAATGCTGCGACGTTGGAATTCTTATTCTTCGCTGGGTAGAAACCCTTGCGCTAAAGTCTACCGCATTTAATCGAGAATCGGCGTTCTCACAGCAGCAATATCTCTATATTATTTATATATATATTTATTGAATTGTGAGCAGCGCACCCGAAAATCAACGAAAGCTAGAACTTTTTCGCTGCAAAATACGGAAATTTATTAATATTAATTATCAAGCAAAACAAGTTGGTCTGTGTGGTGAAAACCCAAGATCTGCAAATTGATCCGGCTACCCTTGAGGTTAATGCTAAGATATACTTGGTAGTTCCGAGGTGTTTGATTGTCCGGAAGTGCCGAATAATCATTCTTACAAATAGACGTAATTTTTTGCACGAGAACTGAAGTGTTTGGATGCGTGCACGTTCTCAAAATAAAGCGATGATTCGTATTGCTGGTTGTAAAATACACTCGCGCGACAGCGACCAACCATGATCGACGGCCGTGGGCCCGAGGCGTCTGCCCTTTCGCAGATATCTGCAAACGCATCGCTTGCAAGCTACCTACAGGACACTGCGACATCCCTGAGGACAGTGAACGTACAGAAGACAACTTGGGGCAGTGGCTAAAAGCATGCAAACGGTGCATATAGCTCGAATCATACTCGGCCCCTCTCATAACAGCCGGGCGCCGAAATACCATATATGAGGCTTGAAATTGTCGTTGCATTTTAGAGGAATTATATAGTTTAACGGTAACACACATTTTTTGATGATCCCTATATAAAAGAATTCATCATATATTGAATATTTGCATGCAAAACGCGTCACACATATAAACAAACGATCAAGTAGGAGAGTGCACTTACTCGCACAAGTTTCCCAACATGCTTTTGCGGTATGAAAATTGTTTCCGCTATCTTCACATCCCCAAAACTTTTCACACTTTTCTGTGTTTGTATTGTAGCCATACCTGTACTCAAATTGAGTGCAAAAACTCATATTTTGTATTGGTAGCTTGCACTTGTCTTCCACAAATCCTATAATAAAATGCTTAAATGTGTTACACTTCATGCAAAACAAATGTGAATGAATACGTAGGAAATTTTGTTTTTAGCCCCGTTATAAACGTGGAGTTCGAATGAGGATACGTTTCAGGTTTTGTTGTATTCCTCTTAAAAAAAAAGTAGTATTTTATTGGCAGATGATCCCTTTATTGAAAGTTCACACAGTTCTAAGAAACCGCGCAGACACGGGATCGCAAAAATAGTCATTCTAATTCATAACGTCTACATTAGTGGTGTCAAACTCATATTAGTGGAGATGGTGGGGGGAAGAGGGGGGGGGGGGGGCAGATAGCCAACAACGGAAAGGTGGGAGGACAACGTAAAACGAGAGGGGGGGAAATCACGAGATTTTAAAGAGAAAAGACCACGTGCGTTATGCTTTTCGTTAGCTCACAATTTTTCCCATAACATCTTTAAACTAGATCTATGACTACTTTTGGCCCTGCCCTGATGCGACAACAAGAATTGAAATTATAGCATCTCGCCAACGTGCTGGCTTTTTTAAGGCAGGGTGTCTCAAATAGTGGCCAGGCTCTTTAACATCGACGGCAAAAATCGGTTCCTTAATCTATCGCGCTACGATTTTGTGCAGCTTTGCCCACAGGTAGTGCATTTTGCTATAAAATTTGCAAAGAGCGAACTTACTTGAGGAAAAAGTAAGAAAAAAAGGAAAAAGTTTTGACTCCTTTGAAAACGCAGCGAAGCCAACGGTCTTCAGACAACAAGGCGCCGTTTGGCACGGAGGACAAGAGATGGCGCAAGCGGTCGCGATGTCAACTGCCGCCAACGAACGAGCATACGGCGCCGAGAGCCGGCGTCATAGGGAATTGTAGTAGACCGTTTTTCTCCCCCGCACGGCATCCATGACAAAAACGCCGCAGCTGCGCATGCGCGCCGCCAGCCTTGTCTGCATAGTTCAAGGTCTTGTGGCGGATTGCGCAGCGCTATCCGGGTGCTTAGCGGGCTGCGGAAACGGTCTACTACATATCCCCATTAGCAGACGATCGTTTCAAGTCAAAAGCAGCGCGCGTTCTGCAGGCGGGGACAGTCGCAGAACCAAGAACAGGCGCGGTAACAACAAGGAACTGCAAAGCGGACGACAATAGTACCTCGAAAACAAAAACAGTCAAGATGACCTGACAAACCATTTTTAATCGATTATGTGTCCACCCAATGCGTTTTATTAGTAGGGGTGATAAAACCATGCATTGGAAACTGACGTCGAAAACGCTCGCGCTGTTTTGAGTCATAAAATATCGTCTGCTATTTGACGCCGGCTCTCGGCGTCTTGTGCTCGTATGTTGGCGGCAGTTGGCGTCACGACCGCTTGCGCCACCTCTTGTCTCCCGTGCCAAACGGCACCGTATTTTTTGAAGACCAGTGTGGCTTAGCGGCGTTGTCAAAGCAGTTAAACCTTTTTTTCTTTTATTACGTTTTCTTGGGTAAATTTACTTTCTTAAAATTTTATAGAAAAAATGCACCATCTGTGAGCAACGCTGCACAAAATCGTAGCGTTCTAGGTTAAGGAACCGATTTGTGCGGTCGATTTAAAGAGCCTGGCCGCTATTTGAAACAGCCTGTAGTACAAGAGAACAAGTACACTGTTGTTCCCGTTGCTCAGTTCACTCAGGAATTCAACCAAGCTCAACATGTCTCTAAAACAACAATCGTTTAACTTGACGGTTCTTGTTTGCCTGACGGTTTTATTACAACACTCAGAACAAATGCTTGTCTTTTAATGGTGATATTGTTTGAAGGCGAGAGTCCCTAGCTCGTAGCTTTATCTTCGGCAGTTGCTCTTGTTGATGGAGAGTTCGCGCAGCCGAGATGCGGCCTTGAACAAATATCTCGCTCCTGCAGCGAATTGTTGCACATTATAAAAAGGCGGGAAGCGGAACATAAATCGAAACAAAGGGCACATGAACACAAATAAATATGAACTATCTGAATACCATAAAAGGGCAGAGCTACGTCTCGAACGGAAATGAATCGGCGCATGCCATTTGTAGCGACCGAGGCATGGGAACCGGGACTCGTAGCGGGTGCTTGCTGGCCGCATCCCAGCGAGTCGCGGGCCGCGTGTTTGAGACCCTTGGGGTTTTATGCTACAACAAGGCGGTATCAAGCCGGGCAGTGAGTCCGGGACATTGCCGCCGTCTGCGATTGGTCAGCGGCACAGCGCTGACCAATCACAGACGGCGGCGATGTCCCGGACTCCCTGTCCCTCTTGGTCCTGCCTTCTAGCATAGGACCCTCGGTCTAAATAAATAAACGAAGTTACAGCTGCTTTTTCGTGAAGTGTTAGCTTTCATTCTTCACCAGACAGCTTTAGAGCATCATAGAAGGAACTAGAGAGGAGGTGAGCGCCTCTTCAAATTTTCACATAATAATAAGGGAACATAATTCGCAGAAGCAGTAGCAGGCGTTCCTTTGTAAACTATAACATCCACATATTACCCGGCCCATTTTAGTGAGACATTTTTTTTGGTAAAACATATTACCTGCTCTTAGTGTAGTCAGCATCAAAAGGCGTGACTCGTAGACACAAAGCGACCCTTGCAGAAGATGTTAAACAGATTTTAGGAGTTATACCCACTTCCTAACAGACCTGAATCATGGGCATTGATTGGTTTACTTCATAATTGTTCAATATTGGCATAGGGTCTTATTAGCCTTGGGCAAACTACAAAGATACGTTAACGCGTTTTCACCAGCCTGTTGTTGGCATATTTTTATTTGGGTATCGGGGGAGAATAACTGGATTGGGTCAAACTGTTCATGACCACTAGGCGTATTCAGGGCATTTCCGGCAGATTTTGTAGTTGTTACAAAAAGCATTGATTTTTGTGCTCTTCGCAATAACTCAGTACCATAACACGGTTGGCGTCCGCTCAAGGTACACTCTCATGGCAATGCAAGAATTTTTGTTTTAAGCTAAGAAATACTTCGATTTCATTACACTTCAATTATTTCTGCGTGTATACTTTAATGCGAACACGTGAAACAATAAATTGTACTAAAATATTATTTTCGACGAATTAGACCAAAGAAATTATATAACAAAGACGGAGGTTTGGGTTTTGAAACAGAATAATGTAGAACTGTGTAGGAGATTATTTGGTGCAGCCAGATCTTTTTCGTCTACTTAGCTCCATGGGATTAGTTCATATACCGCGGTACTTTACTTCATGCTAACGCCAACAGGTAATGACACACACGCTAATTATATTCTTTGACAAATCGGTAGAACGAAAAAGCCTGATCAACCATTAACTTAGTTTACTTCCAACAATAACCACACAATTGAAATGCTACGGCCAGCTCGAAAATGTTGCATTACATCTTACAAAATGGCTTAGAGAAATTGTTGTGTACAAAAACACAAATGATAAGCCACAATATAATCGCATGAAAGAAATGAGTTAAGCCAAGAATTAAATACTTTCATCAATTTCTAAAATGTGCTTTTAAAAGCAGCAAAACATGCAAATATTGATAGCGCTGTGGATGAATTATATTGCGCATATTAATGACCACATTTCTTCAAACGAAGTGTCATACTCAACTTACTTCCACAGCGTTGGTAGCACTGGCGAAATGTATAGAATGCGTTTCCATGTGTAGGACAGTAGTCGGGGGGTAAAATTTTGCATCTTTGCTCTTTATAATCATACCAAATATAAAGATCGTCACCGTGTTTACATTGGGTGCGAAACGGGTATGCACATAGTCCTAGGTCAGCAACTTGAGCCATGGAAGTGGAGAAAATAAGAAAGGAATAAATAACTATTTTATGATCGGCTGAGGACACGCAACTCCGCGAAGATATAGAAAATGACCAAACAGTGGAACAATAATGTAGTCGTAAATAAAATTGTAAAATTGTTTTTATAATTTTCATACATAATATGAGGGTGATACAAAAGTAATGATTTGTATTAGTTTCTTATAAAGTCTAGTCTACAGGCTAGATTTATTGGCTTCCAAATAATTACGGCATGAGCGTTCACATTTTATTAAGATTCATAACCTGAGCCGTTCAAATACTCTAAGATGTATATTACCGAAAAAAATACTCATGCTGGAAATAATATTTATTTCTTAGGTGGTCACCGGGAAAACCCGTACCTCCAAAACGACCAACAAAAAAGGCGGAAACACAGAGCTCAAAAGTAGTGATCGGGTTAGTGTGCTGTTGAATTGATGTGCCGTGTATGTGTATGTGCTCAATGTATACGTTCAGCTGATGCTTGTGGTATGCTTAATGTATCTACATATCTGTATAATAAAGGTGCCCGAAGGGCCCGAAGCGTAATGGTGATGTAAACAAATAAAAATATATTGTTTTATTTTTTGTAGCACATGAATTGGGCGGTATCTAGCGCCGACGCTCCAAGCACTTTATAGATATACATAGGTGCGATATCCGGCGGGTGCTCAGACGACACTGCCAGTACTCGATTGACGTACGCGATGCCCGGCGGATACTCAACCGACTGTTAAGTGCTCCATGGATACTCAGATCCACCCGGTACTCAGATGAAACCCACGGTTCTCGATTGACACGCGATATACAGCCGATGATCATCAGCCGACGCTGGCCGTACTCCAGTGATATTGTGCTGGTACTGCCCCCATTTTGAAACGATATTGTTTACACATCGTGTGGATGGGAAGATTCTGGGTATTTGCCAACAATAGTGTGTAGATACTCGCCTCATATTCTTGTGCCGCTTGGGTATTCCTCACAGATAGTCGCATTTATTATTTTTCTATTCTTCAATAGTATAAAACAACCTTTTATTGAAGTTTATGTTACTGTCTAACTTTACTTGTCATCGCTAAGCCACTTAATTCTGGTCCCATACTGCTGATGTCATGACATCCAGAGATTGCCAAGCACCGTTTAATTTTGCCGTCGTCTTAAAAATTACATCCTCCGAGCGTGACTTTAATTTCCAAGAAGATGGCAATCGGTCAGAAAGGCATGTAGATAATGCTGTTTGTCAAAAGCCGTGAACAAATTATCTGTATGTGACAATGTCTGAAGTCGAGTCAAACAGACTTGCGGACCGAATTTAAACGCCTGATAAGAAATGGCGAAAAAAGGTCACTAATTAAGTGTGAAGACTTTGCTCACAAATGACTTAACATTTGCTGAAAATATATCAATAATTTATGTTGAGTACACCTTAATAATATTACAGAATAAAAAAAGTGAAAGCCGTTTACAACTCCCTGTAACACCGAATTAGAGCGCAGCTCTTGAGGAGGAGGAGGGAAGGGTACTGGGGGGTGAAGTGACCTGGGGGGGGTCACGTGACGATGCCGATGATGTCATCAGTGACGTCACTGATGACGTCATCCGTGGCGATGACGATGACGATGCGGATGCCGGTGACGTCATCAGTGACGTCACTGATGACGTCATCAGTGACGATGACGATGCGGATGCCGGTGAGGTCATCAGTGACGATGACGATGCGGACTCCGATGACGTCATCAGCGATGATGACGATGACGATGCGGATGTCGGTGACGTCATCAGTGACGTCACTGATGACGTAATCCGTGATGATGACGATGACGATGCGGATGCCGGTGACGTCATCAGTGACGTAACTGATGACGTCATCAGTGATGACGATGACGATGCGGATGCCGGTGAGGTCATCAGTGACGTCACTGATGACGTCATCAGTGATGATGACGATGTGGATGCCGGTGACGTCATCAGTGACGATGACGTCATCGGGGAGGTCACGTGACCTCGGCGGGGGGTCACGTGACCCTGGGGGTGGTCACGTGACCTCGGGGGTCACGTGACTTGGGGGATCACGTGACTTTGGGTGTCACGTGACCATGGGGGTCACGTGACCTTGGGGGTCACGTGACCCCTCCCCAGGTCACGTGACCTCTGGGGTCACGTGACCTTGGGGTGACCTTGGGGGCCACGTGACCTTGGGTTGACCTTGGGGGGTCGCGTGACCTTGGGGTGACCTTGGTTACGCCGACGCCGACGGCGACGCCGACGCCGCTCAAGCCGGGAACGGGCCCCTAAGAGCTGCGCTCTAAAATGGTGGACGAATGTAGAATTTCAATGTTTATTAAGGCGAGCTTGTGTCTACAAACCCAAAATAAAGTACAGTCGTCCTCAATATGAGCGTGAACACGCCGCCGTCGACCGATTGTTACTGCCAGCTCCAGCTAGCGGCGCTTCCACGAGTCACTACGAGGATAAGCGCCTGCGCAGAAGGGACGGATGCGCTGTTGCGATAGCGAGTATCACCCCCGTTCTGGAATCTGAAAACCGCCCGCGGCCAGTCTGTTTTGTTTTACTGATAGTTGGAAGCGCTGATTGTGATAAGCAATCGGCCACGGACTGCGCTTTTTAAACGATAAATCCTGCTGTGTAGCTTGCGCGTGTCGGCGTAGTCGATAGTCACTCTTGATGGTATAAAACAAATCTGTTTGACAAAAAAGTAGGAATCGGGGGCGTTATGATTGGGTCTTGAAGTTGGTATCAGTGAACACGTTTTATCTATACTTCGTTTCACCTTAAATTCAGACGCAGCCGATGCTACGAGCTAATCGTACCAATGAAACAACGTCCAAAGGCACCATCATGCTTGTTCGTCACGTTTTGTGCGGGTTTTATGATTGCTGAACCAATCGCACACAGAAAAAGACCCAGTGATTGGCGTTTTGACGCTGTTTGATTGGTCCGAATAGCTTGTAGCGCCGGCTGACACTTAGTATGATGAAATAGGTATTGTTATCGTTTTAAAAATGCGGGCGTGTTTGAATTCCACAAAACGGGGCGCCTACGCGAAATTTATTTATTATGAAAGCTGATGTTGAGATGTCGCGCGTACCCGAAGATGAGCGTCGCCGCATTATAGACCTGTGCTTTAAGGAGTATAGCCAAAGAGTCATCGCCGATTTGGTGCAGCGCCCATTGACAAACCGTTAATCGCATCATGCAAGCATACAAGAACGAAGGCCGCATTGCGGACGCGCCACACAATCGACGTCCACGTGTGACAACAGCCGACCAGGATCAGACGATTGTGGCAGCCGTGGCAGTCGACCCGTTTCTGTCGGCCCGAGATGTCCGCTGTGCCTGCAACCTTCAGGTGAGCACATCGACAATTTACAGAAGGTTTTCGGAGGCTGGGCTGAAAAGCCGGATAGCTGCCCAAAAGCCTCGGCTCAGCGAAGACAAGAGGCAGCGGTTGGCATTCGCCAGAGACCACAGCTCTTGGACCATTGCAGACTGGAAGACCGGAGGAGCGTCATTTTTTCTGATGAGTCCACATTTACGACTCGTTGGGATCAAAAGCGACGCGTATAGCGGCCGGAATGCTCCAGTTATGACCCCGAGTTCCTGCAGGAAGTAGCAGCAAGTGGTCGGTCGGTTGTGAACGTCTGGGGAGCTGTCTCCTACCAAGGGCTTGGGCCACTGTACAGAATTGAAGGAAGGCTGACCTCTGAGAACTACTGCAACATCTTGGACGACGTCATGCTTCCTTATGTTCTCGGTGGCCCATTTCCTGACGGGAATTTTTTTATCCAGCAAGATCTTTCCCCAGTCCACACCGCCGGCAAAGTGCGGACGCTCCTGGAGGAGCGTTACGTCAGACAGCTGTCTTGGCCTCCAAAAGGTGCTGATATGAACATTATCGAGCACATCTGGGGGCTTATAAAGCGGAACCTGGCGAAGCAATCCCTCCACAGTGCACGCACCGACGACCTCTGGATGCCGTGGAAGCCGAGTGGAACCGACTGAGGGGACGCACCGATATCGTCGAAGCGCTTTTTCAGTCTCTGCCTTCCAGAATAGCGTGCGTCCTCAGAGCGCACGGTTGCATGACCCGCTGCTAAGACGCACAAAAGACAATCTAGGAAGTTAAGTGCTAGATGCCTTAAAACTAGGTCATTATTAACAAGAATCAGCATGGTTGTTTGTTTTTATTTTTTGAAAAAAGTTATTTCAAAAGAAATAAACATATTCCTTTGAAATGGTGTCGGTCTTGAAAGACCGATCAAAACAATTCGTGAGTTCACAAAAACAAAATACGTGCGCGCCTCCTTAGAAAAAAAAATCAGTTCCGCGTTAACGAAAAGATAGCGCACGAAGCAAGATCAGAAAAACGGAGCGCGCTTGGAAGGTCGCATCTACACTGACCGCGCAATTTTTATAAATATATAAAGCAGCACTCACTGCCTTATCCAAACTGACATACAAAAGGGGGTAGCATGCGTTCTCGTAACAGCCGATCCGTCCTTTCTGCGCAGGCGCTTATTCTCACAGTGACTCGTGGAAGCGCCGCTAGCTGGAGCTGGCAGTACCAATCGGTCGACGGCGGCGTGTTCACGCTCATATTGAGGACGACTGTACATGTTTAGAGCCATCGACGGAAAACGATTGTCCAAAGCAGCGCGTTACCGCGACTTTCATACATGCGATACGTTCAAGAATGTTCCGAATCAAAATCCACTGAAACCGCCGACAATAAGCTGGAGCTTTCAGGAACACTACATATTAATTAAAAAAAGTGAAAGCCGTTTACAACTCCCTGTAACGCCGAATTAGAGCGCAGCTCTTGAGGAGGTGGAGGGAAGGGTACTGGGGAAGGTTCAACTGACCAGGGGGGGTCACGTGACCTTGGGGGGTCACGTGACCCCCAAGGTCACGTGACCCCCCAATGCCGATGATGTCATCACTGACGTCACTGATGACG